ATCGACGAAGAAAGCACGGGCAGTTGGTCATTTTTCCTTAGGAATCTGCGTCGATATGTTGTATTCGACAGACAGATATGTGTTCTTTCTGACAGGGATGTGGGTCTACTCAGTGCGATTGAATCATTACCGGATTGGCAAGAACCCGCTGCGTATCACCGGATTTGCCTTCGACACCTTCGAAGCAACGTGGTGACTCGGTTCTGGAGTAAGAAAATCCCAGATTGGTGTTGGGAGTTGGGTTCGCAGTTGTCGAAGCAAAAGTTTCGACGGACAAAACAGCGACTTCAAGTACTTAATCCCGACGCATACAATTATCTTTTCAACATTCCTTTGAACCTGTGGACCCTGTATCGAGATGAAAAATGTAGATGGGGCACTTTGACAACGAATATGTCGGAGAGTTACAACAATGTCCTGAAAGGGGTTAGGTTCCTGCCGTGCAGAGCTTTGGTAGAGGCCACATTTCAGAAAACTCTGGATTTGTTTCGACAAGAACAAAACAAAGCCAGCAGATGCAGGAGTCCCATTGCTCATTTGCACTATGTCGCATTTTTTCAGTTGGAGCAAACTGCCGCAACTCACGAGGTGGAATGTACGGACTACGCCAGATCGATGTACGCGGTGACAACCGGTCTACGCGCTAGTGGAAGAGGGCAAAACAAGTAAGTATATGTTTTGTTTTTTTTTTTGTTCATTAATTTTTTTTTTGTATTATATAAATCAATGTTGAAATACAGGTATGAAGTTGATTACCCCGGACAACGTTGCTGTTGTCGGAAGTGGCAGACGCATAGAAAACCGTGTTCTCATGCAATAGTCGTCTGTCGTAGAATTGAGGGTGACCCAAAGCTGTTGTACGATGATCACTTCTGGACGTCGACCTGGGTAGCTCAATGTACTAATTGGAGTTTTATTCCGATTGGTAATCCGGATACATGGCCGCCGGTGGGATGGAATTTGATTCCACACTGGGAGAGGATCATCTTGAAGCCTGGACCCGGTCGCAAGCAAACGAGACGCTACCGCATGCAAATGGATCGTCGGGCACGACGCTGAAATGAGAGGGGGCATTGTACTAGATACGGTGATCCAGAGCATGTTGTGGATGAGTGTCCGTCCTCACATCCTCGCAGTGATAGGTCTAGACTTCGTGATGTGTGGGGAGATTAGATTTTTTAGTGTTTATTTGGATTTGTTTGGATTGTTCTTTTGGATTTCGTTGGATTATTTATTTTGTTATGTTTGTATGATTTATTTGGACTTGGTTTGATGGTACTTATGGTACATTAGTTGATTTGCTCGTGTAATTTTGGTGTAGTTGGTTGTTTGGAATATACATAGAAAAGTGTAAAAGGACGAAAAATGACAAAATCGAGCTGCAGTTGGGTCACACGACTCGTGTGAGTAGATGACACGAGTCGTGTGGCTACAAGATAATGAAATTTCAGCTACGAATTTTTCACACGGGTCGTGTGTCTCGTGACACGAGTCGTGTGACGTCACACGACCCGTGTGAGTTGTCGTGTGAGGGGTCGTGTGAGTCTGTGAGTTTTTTTTGTTTTTTAACTAAAAACGGATTCTAAGAATCCATTTTTTAAATAAAAAAAAAATAGCAGAGGCTCCCAGATTGAGGACTCGAACCCCGGTCTATGGGTGAGTCCGGTTTCTCTGGGCGCACCTCGTACCATTAGGCCGCTCTAGGCTATCGCTGTTATTTTTGCACAAAATATATTCTTATACTTCAACATCAATTTTTTTTTTTTTTTAATCGAAGTGAAATTAGTACAAGATAATGAAATTTACTACAATTGAAGTCAAATTAGTACAATTAAAGTCAAGTTAGTACAATTAAATTCAATTTCGTACAATTGAAGTCAATTTAGTACAATTGAAGTCAAATTAGTACAATTGAAGTCAATTTCATACAATTGAAGTCAACTTCGTACAATTGAAGTCAACTCAGTACAATTGAAGTCAAATTTGTACAATTTAACTCAAATTAGTCGGCATGGAGAGTTCCAGGACAGCAGGTGTTTCTATGCCGTTTCTGTTGATGGTGGCAAAGAAGACTTCTCCTATCGTAAATGTCTAGAGAGTTTCATTAGGGAGAAGTACCCTGACAAGGCAGAAACTTTTATTCCCAGATGCTGCTGCTACTGGTGGTTGGAACTAAGCAGATTAAGCAAAAACATAAATTATGTCTAACAATTGAAGTCAATTTCGTACAATTGAAGTCAATTTCATACAATTGAAGTCAATTTCGTACAATTAAAGTCAATTTAATACAATTGAAGTCAATTTAGTACAATTAAAGTCAATTTCGTACAATTGAAGTTAATTTCATACAATTGAAGTCAATTTCGTACAATTAAAGTCAATTTCGTACAATTGAAGTCAATTTCGTACAATTGAAGTCAACTCAGTACAATTGAAGTCAACTTCGTACAATTGAAGTCAACTCAGTACAATTGAAGTCAAATTAGTACAATTGAAGTCAAATTAGTACAATTGAAGTCAAATTAATACAATTGAAGTCAATTTCGTACAATTGAAGTCAAATGAGTACAATTGAAGTCAAATTAGTACAATTGAAGTTAATTTCGTACAATTGAAGTCAACTGAGTACAATTGAAGTCAAATTAGTACAATTGAAGTCAGATTAGTACAATTGAAGTCAAATTAGTATAATTGAAGTCAAATTAGTACAATTGAAGTCAAATTAGTACAATTGAAGTCAATTTCGTACAATTGAAGTCAACTTCATACAATTGAAGTCAATTTCGTACAATTAAAGTCAACTCAGTACAATTGATGTCAACTTCATACAATTGAAGTCAACTCAGTACAATTGAAGTCAACTTCGTACAATTGAAGTCAACTTCGTACAATTGAAGTCAAATTAGTACAATTGAAGTCAATTTCGTACAATTGAAGTCAACTCAGTACAATTGAAGTCAAGTCAGTGCAATTAAAGTCAACTTCGTACAATTGAAGTCAACTTCGTACAATTGAAGTCAATTTCGTACAATTGAAGTAACTCAGTACAATTGAAGTCAACTTCGTACAATTGAAGTCAACTTCGTACAATTGAAGTCAACTTCGTACAATTGAAGTCAACTTCGTACAATTAAAGTCAACTCAGTACAATTGAAGTCAACTTCGTACAATTGAAGTGAACTTCATACAATTGAAGTCAATTTCGTACAATTGAAGTCAACTAAACCCTAAACCCTAGACCCTAAACCCTAAACCCTAAACATGTGGTATATATAACATATGTTATATTATATAACATATGATATTACATATGTTATAATATTACATATGTTATAGTATAACATACTATGTTATAATATTACATATGTTATAGTATAACATACTATGTTATACTATATAGTATATAATAACATATATTATATTATATAACATATGTTATACTATATAACATATATATAACATATTTTATATTATATAATATGATATAATATAATATAACATATAGTAGGTAATATAATATAAAATATAGTATAAATTACAATTTTTTTTATTTAATGTATTGTATAATTTTATGTATATGTATATAATTTGTTTAAAAATAATCAGAAAGTGTCTGCCGGCACAATGGTTCGAGGTGCGCCCAGAGAAACTGGACTCACCCATTGACCCGGGTTCGAGTCCCCAATCTGGGAGCCTCCACCATTGTTTTTGTTTTTATTAAACGTATTCTCAGAATATGTTTCACAAATAAATTAAAGTGAAACGTATTCTGAGAATACGTTTTGCTTGTAAATATAAATAAAAAAAATTTCTTCTTCTTCTCCTACGCGAACATACAGAGAGCAGAGAGCAGAGTTGAGCAAGCAAAAAAAAAAAAAAAAANNNNAAAAAAAAAAAAAAAACTGAGAGAGCGGGCGAGAGAATTCTACCGGATTCAACACCAAATTCATCAAACAAGGTATCATTTCTTGTCATTTTTCGTCTATTTTCACGATTTGAAGGGTGAACTGAGATATAGATGGTGTGTTTGTAGCAAAAAACATGATGTTAGGGTTAACAATTTTTTTTCTATTTTTCATTTGTTTTGATATTTAATTTGTGAATTTGTAATGATTGAGATATGTTGATGAATTGTTGATATGTTTGTGTGATAATTTGATGGGTTATTTTGAAATTGATTAGAGTTTTGTAGTTTGTTTGGAAAACTATGAATTGAAGGTGTTCGATAAAATGCCTCAAAAGGATTGTTGTACATAATTGCTTGTAGTTGGATGATTTGAACGGTTCGTTTCGATTATGTTAGCCCTGTTTTTTATCGAAACGGTTCGTTTCGATTGTTGTACATAATTGTTTGATGTTTCGTCTATTTTTTTTTTATTTTGTTGTAAATTAAGCTTTCTTATATGTAATGATTTTTTTTTTTTATTTTTGTAGAAAATGGCGTCCTCCTCACAGCCGCAGCGGTACACCGTCCATCCCGGTCCGATGGATCGGTCCCTTCTTTACCTTCAGGACAACCACCGGTCGGAAGCTGTATACAACGATGTGGAGGGATATCGTCACGGTGTAGTTAAAACCCGCCGTTTCGACACTCAGTTTTGGAAGGCGTTGGAGGTACAGCATGACAAAGTATGGGAGGTGATCGAAAGGACCGGTTTCGGGCCGCTTTTCAGAATAGGCCGAATATCGACGGAAAACAGCTTGATTACATGTCTAGTGGATAGATGGCGTCCGGAGACGAACACCTTCCACTTTGACTTCGGGGAGGCTACAATAACGCTGCAGGACGTACAAGTCCTTTTTGGTCTCCCGGTCGATGGAGCGCCATGTTAGGGACAAACAGTTGACCACGAACCCCACGAATGGCAAGAACACTGTGTCGATTATCTAGGGTTCGAGCCCTCAGTCAAGGTAATTTTTTTCCTACATTTTTATTTTTTTTGTTTATTCCATTCATTAATTTTCAATATATATATAACACTCTCAGGCTGATGACGAAGGGCACCCTGGAACTTACCGGCCAGTTTTTGAAGACCTCGGCAATTGAAAAGGAGTGCTATAGACCGCTAACAAATGAAGAGCATCCCAGTCGCTACGAAGAGAGGGCGAGGGCGCTTATACTCTGGTGTATCGGATCATTTTTCTTCCCCGATCATAGGGGGAATGGGGTCATGTTGTACTGGATGCAGCCCTTGCTCGAGATCAATGAGATCAAGCAGTACAGCTGGGGTTCAGCTGTCCTGGCTGGGGTCTATAGAGGGCTCACCTTGACCGCCAGATCCGGGGAAATCTGGATCAAGAACTGTGTTCGATTGATTCAGGTAAATAAATGTACTTACTTGTTATTACTTCATTCATTTGTTATTATAATTTATCCTAATATATATTAACCAAAATATTTATATCGATATCTGTAGGTTTGGGCATGGGAACGTATCCCTCGTATTAGCCCAAAAATGAGGGATACCAACGTTGACAGAGTCCAGGGTTGTCCCTTAGGAGCAAGGTAATCACATTTATTTATATTTAATACTTAAAATATTTTAACTATAAAATTTTGTGATTAAAATTTTTTTTTCTTTTTTATTTGATTTTTAAGGTGGGTGGGACGGAGGAATATGAAACACATCGGAAAGGGAACAACCGCTATCCGAGATCAATTAACTTGGCTGACAGAGAATGATGTAAGATTTTGATTAAGTAATATTGATTATTATATATGTTTGTTTTGAGTTTTTTTATTTTTCTATAACTTAATAAATATTATTATTATTTGTTTACAGTTCAATTGGGTGCCATATAAGCGCCACCTGGACGAGGGTACTCTCCCGGCCTCGTGTATAGAAGGGTCACACCTGTGGATGTATAGAGGGTGGATCTTCTGTTGGGACGTTCGTGAGCAGCACCTGCCTGATAGGGTCATCCGTCAGTTCGGGTGTCGGCAAGCCAGACCCGACCCTCCGATCATTAGGGGTTTGGCTGAGTACCAGACACACCATCGAGGCCAGGGAATGACTGGGAGGGCATTCTATGATTGGGTGGAGTATCACGGAGCACTTGGGAATGTTTGGGTCGACCGAGCCCAACATGTCCTTCCACATTACCCTGTGGAGTCGTTCGTTGAGGCTGAGCCGGGTTACCTTGATTGGTTTCACTATAGGACTCGAAGACTAATCAGTAATCCTGGCAACAACCCGGTGGTCCAACAGCAAGGAGGCTTTCATCCACAGTCCGAGCAGGGGATGTGCAGTGTAAGTGTTAATAAATTGTGTTTTTTTTATTATTATTCTTCTTATTATTTTTTTTTTTGTTTAATGGTAATAATTTTCAATTTTTTTTTCAGGCCAAATGGAGGGGGTTTATAACTTGTATCGACCCTTGACTATAATGCACTCACTCCAGCGCAGCAGTCCATAATCGCAAATGCCCAAAACATGCTCCAAAGTGGACTGACTGTCGGAGGACAAGGGGTCACGCAAGGGACGTCGTCGAGTCAAGTTCTATCTCAAGAGAGCTATGTCCAACCCCAACCTGTAACACCCCGACTTTTTAATACTATCAGAGTACGCGATTTTTCGCAATTTTCTGAATAAATAAATAAAATACTTATTTTGCGAAAACTAATTCGGGATGCTACCGTGAAAAACTAGATTTTTCTTAAAACCGTTAAAATTTTAAACTGATAAATAAAAACGGTTATACTGTCTTATCCGACTAATGTCGGAACAAAAACTGAAAATGAGTACTGAAAGTTTTAGCGGAAACATCTGCGTGGCAAAACATATATACAATAAATCACAAATATCCTGAACAGCCCGCCCGCTCACTCCTCGTCTCCGACCCAGCGACCTGAAAAAAAAAAACATGAAATGCGTGGGGGCGTGAGCACTAAAACACTTGTGCTCCGCAGAAACTCATACTAATGTAAGCATCGTAAATAATAACAATATCATGAACTAAGCATATATAACTAAACTGAAACTGAAACTGAAACTGATATCAGATACCGGTCTGATCTCGCGACATAAGTCACGTAACTGATAACTGAAATCTGTCGGCACAAACTAACACCGCAATCTCCCGGCACAAACTAATACCGGACCATGTGCACACTCTAGTGGTTA